ACTGGCTCTTGGGCTCCTGGCCTCGGGCGTGCATGTGGTGCTGTCACCGTGGGCTCTGGTAGCACCGGCTTCCACAGCCACTCGCCCAGTGAGATGCCGCCCGCCCGGGAGGGCCTTCCTGTGGTGGGAGCGCCCCTGAGCCTGAGGGGTGGGGGGCTTGGGGGCGAGGCCAGCACGGAACTGGTGGGGGGCGGAGCAGAGAGCACAGTGCCTCTCAGGAAGGGCTGGTCCCTGGCGTGGCTGGGGGTGCAGATGTGCTGGACGCACTTAGCAAACCCAGGAGTGGATGCAGGTCCGTGGCGCTCGGCTCAGTCTCGGGGCCCAGGTGTCCGAGGACAGAAAATGTCAGGATGGACAGTCACCCGGAGGGGCTGACGGGGGGTGGGGGGCGGGCCTCACGCTGCCCCTCGGGACTCCTCCTAGGTGACCCTCATGCTGCTTGACCAGAACAACCGGGAGCACGTGATCGACGCCTTCAGACCCGACGTGACCTCGTCCTCTTTCCAGAGGCCGGTCGGCGACATGAACATTGCGAGCGGCTGCCCCCTCTTCTGCCCCGTCTCCAAGATGGAGGCCAAGAACTCCTACGTGCGCGACGACGCCATCTTCATCAAGGCCATCGTGGACCTGACGGGGCTCTAGCACCTCCCCTGGGGTCAGGGCCAGGGCACCTGGCCCGCGCGTGGGGACAGCGTGGTGACAGCGACCGTGCTGGCCTGAGCCTCACCTCAGTGGGCAGCCATGCTCACATCTACCCCCAGGAGAGAGCGTCTCCAGGGGGCCCTCAGCCCCAGGTCCTGCTGGGCCGGGCGCCTGGAGAGCCCTGCAGGCCGCCTGGGGGTGCTCGGGGCCCTGGCCAGGTGGCAGGAGCTCTGGGCGAGGCGGCAGAGGGCAGGCGGGCCGTGTGGGAGTCGCCCCAGTGAGGGGCCCAGTGCCTGTCCCGCCCGTGGGTCCTGGAGACCAGGACAGTTTGGGGCTGGGCGCAGCTCTGCGGGACCTGCTGTGCCAGCCGGGCCGGGCGGTGGCTCGTCCTGAGAGCATCCCGCCACTGCCGGTGGCATGTGCAGGCCACGGTCAGTCTCCCCGAGACTGTCGCTGGCCCGTGAAGCTGGGAAGTCGTCATTAAATCGTTAACCTGTGGTGAGTGGTGTCCACTGGCTCCCGCCTCGCAGGGGCTCCTTCCTGGCCCCCCAGCCCATCTCCACCCTCAGCGGCTCTGTGGTTCCCTGAGGCTCAGCTCATGTCTGTGGGCCTGGGAAGGCAGCGGTTCTTTCTTCTGGAATGTTCTTTGTTGGCTGGCTCCTCTTCCAGACGTGCCCAGGAGAGCAGGACCACACCTTCCCCCATTCTGGGCTGACCCCACCCCGTGGGGCGAGCAGGGTCCCTGCTGGGAGCAGCCAGTGGCTTCGTTGGTGTCTGGGGACCTGACAGCAGCATTGGGGCGCCCCCCCTCCCCCCACCGATCCAGGACTTCTCTGGGGGACTGACCCCAGGAGGCCTCAGCCTGTGGGATGAGGGCAGGGGGTGTCCTGTTCTCCGGGCCGTGAGTCAGGCTGGTGGGCCGCTGGCGTCTTCAGAGGGAACCCGGCTCTGACTGCCCTGGACACTCACTGTCTCTCGTGAGAAGTTAAAGGGCAGAAAAGCAGAGACCGACGCCGTGAGCATGCGTGGCCACCTCCCGGACCCACACGTGGCAGAGAAGTTGACCCCCGCCCCTCCCCCCGTCCATCTCCGGCCCAGCCCTCGCCAGCGGCTGATTACATCTCCTTGCGGTTTATCACAAACGGTGCATGTGTGAGGCTCAGGCGGCCATTGGTGGGAGCTGCTTCCCTCCCGGGCTTTCGAGCCTGTGGTGCTGGCACCCATGCGGCGGGCGGGCTGCCAGGCCACCCTCCCGACTGGACCATGAGGTCCCTGGGCCCCTGGACACCTGGGGACTGAGTGTGAGCAGGTGTCTGCTGCCCCCTGGACCTCGGAGAGCGCCCCCCCCGTCCAGCCATTCCTCGGTGGGTGGTGGGTCCTGTGCACCTGTGGCTTGGGAAGCCTTCCTGGCACGCTCAGCCCTGGCCGTGGTGGCACGTGGCACCACGTGGTGGTGCAGATGGACATTCAGACTTGATCGCTGGACAGCTTTCCTCTATGGACGGAGCTGCTGACCAGCCATCTAAGCAGCCCCGACCTGCTGCCCTGGGCTGAAACGCCCTCTTGCTGGCTTTAGTTTTGTCTGTAACGTTGGGCGTGACGCTGGCATTTGTATCTGGTGTGTGTGTGCATGTGTTTTTGGTGGCAAGTGAGAGGGTTTCCTGCCACGGGACCCTCAGAATCTGCTCCGAGAAGCCAGCCCCAGGCCGCGCTGTGCGCTGCTGCCTCTAATGTCCGGGACGGCCAAATCCACGGGCAGCGGCTGTGCACCCAGTGGTGGCTCAGAACAGTCAGTGAGAGTAGAAAGGATCAAGGGAGGCCAGAGGGGAGCGGCAGCAGGAGGTCCCAGTCCTGTGACCTACAGGGGATGGTCCCGCGGGTCCCCTGAGGCGGCAGCTGTCACCGAGCAGAGGCCTGGAAGGGCCAGGAGGCCGCGAGCGCCGGGTCTGTCTCCATGCTCCCAGGCACAGTGCATCCGAGCTCTGCACAGGCCCAGGGCCGGCTCTGGATGGAGCTGCTCTGCACACCAGGCATGACTTGCCCCGGTAACTGTCCCTTCCTCTTGGGTGCGGTGCTGCCAGGCCACGCGCGAGTTTAAATTCATAAACTGAAACCGTGTTCCAGAGCCGCTGCTGGGTCTGCGTGTCCCATTCCCTTCCTGCCCCGCACGCCCCCCCCCCAAACACACACACACGGTCACACCCTGACGCTCTGGCCCCCGGGTGCAGGTGCTGGGAGGTGCCTAGGTTATGAGGGCAGGGCCTGTGATGGGATCAGTGCCCTTCTGAGAGGGACCCCCCTAAAGCCACTCTGAGAGACCTGGAGGGCGCCCCGCCTGCCGGCACCGCCTCAGCCTCCGCCGCCAAACCGAGGGGAGGACTGGGAGCCTGGCCTGTGCTGCTGGGTGGTGCAGCCCGGGGGCTGAGGCAGCCTGCACCCCATGTTCCCGCCCGTGCAGTGGCAGCTCCTGTGCCTGCTGGTCCCCGCGGGCACTGCCTGTGCATGTGTAACAGGCATGGTGTCCGTCTGGCTGTAATTTGCACGTCCCTAATGTCTAACAACGGTGACTGTCTCCTATGGTGAAGTGTCCGATTCTCTTGCCCATTTTTAAGTCGAGCTGGGCTTCTTGCTGCCGAGTTATGTAGTCCAGGCACAAGTGTTGGGTATGTGACTTGTAACTACTTTCTCGTCTGGTTTCTTTCCGTCCTCTTAACAAAGTGTTTTCAGAGCAGAAGTAACTTTCGCTGAAGTCGTGGACCCACTTTTCTAACTGGCGGTGTCTGTGGGCACCTGCGCCGGCCCCAGGGCGCAGGTGTGCGGCGGCCTCTCTGGAGTGTGTGGCTGCAGGTCACGTGGAGCGTGTGGTCCTCACGGGGTGAGGTTGGTCTGGGCTCATCTTTTCTGCAAGTGATGCCCGTTGTCCCGGCAGCACTCACCGGATGACGCCCGCCGAGTGGCCACACACACACGTCACTGCGACCCCCCTCTCCGGACTCTCCCTTCTGCGAAGGGCTCACCTGCCGCGTTTGTGGGCAACGTGTCCCGTGGACGCAACCAGCACCGCTGTCCTCGGGATCAGACCTCCATGCGGGGCTCCTCCAACCTCATTCTTGTTTCTCGGAATCGCGTCAGCTGCGTTGGTTCCTCTGCAGACCCGTGTGCATCTTAGAAGCACCTTGTCCGCAGCCATTCAAGCCCAGTGGGCCATGGCTGGGCTGTCGGGCCTGTAGACCCGTTTGGGGAAAGCGGGCCCCTGTGCGTGTCGCCCCCAAGGAGGACGGTGCGGTCTGTGGGCCTATGGGCCCAGTCACCACCGCTCTGCAGAGGGCACGTGCCGCCCTCACGTGCTTGGCTAGGTTTCCGTAGCCTGTCTTTCTTTTTAGCTCATGTGAAAGGTCTTGATTTTTAAATTTTGGTTTCGTTTTGGTCTATTTCTGTGTTTGGAGACCTGGTCGATTGCTGTGCTGTAGGCACATCCTGTCGGCTTCCTGAACCCACTTTCTGGTTCCAGGAGGTCCTTGGATTTGTCTGTAGACGGGGGGTGGGGTGCAGGGGGGGTCATGCCTAAACAATTGTCACCTGAGAAGGGACAGTGTCTGCACCCTGTCATTCTCTTTCTTGCCTTGCTCCACGGTGAGAGGGAACAGGTGGGGGGCGGTGACTGCCTGTTCCCGTCCTGGGGGGCAGTCCCCCCCGTCACCCGAGTGCGATCTTATCTGCGGGTTTTCTGGGCCAGCCCTTTTCTCAGGCTGAGCCGGCTCCCTTCCAGCCGGGCCTGCTGAGCTTTTATCCTGGCCAGACGCTCTGTGAACGCTTCCCCCGCACCCAGCAGCTCCCGCTCTTCATTCCGCAGGCGCCGTGCGTCAGCGTCTCGCTGGGGGTTTGCATCTGTGTTAGCAGAGACGACGCAGTGTGCTGCTGCCAACTGTTTATTCGGGTCCTGAACAGGTGACTAGTGACATGCAGTCCACCGGGCCAGCGACAGGCTGGCCCACATCGCCCACCAGAGGGGACCCTGGGGCTCCCAGGGCCAGGTTGGGCCGGACCAGCCCCCAGGACCCCTGAGGGTCAGCTGAGGGGGAGGGTTGTGCTGACGTCCCAAGGCTCAGGCCTAGGGAGAGGGGTGGGTGAGGGGTGGGGCTCCCAGTGTCCTGTGCACCCCAAGCAGCCAGGAAGCCGCCGGGTGCCCGAGAGCTAAGTGTCACGGCCGTGGGAGGTGCTGTGTGCACAAGCGTGGTGGGGTCCAGCGTCCACTCCTGCAGCCCCGCGGACCTCCTTCCTCAGGCATCGCTGCTGCGGGCTCCTCTGCCCCCACGCCCTCTGGGCAGCAGCCTCCTCCGCAGCCTCCATGGGTCCTGCAGCGGAGGACACCGTGCTCCTGGGCGCGCCCCTCAGCGCCTCTGGCTGGCGAACCAGGAGAAGAAGG